GCCCCCGCCGGGGTGGGCGTCCCCCCTCCCGCGGCGGGGGGCGGCGAGGGCCCGTTTGCCTGCCCGCTCTGCTGGAAGGTCTTCAAGAAGCCCAGCCACCTCCACCAGCACCAGATCATCCACACCGGCGAGAAGCCCTTCTCCTGCTCGGTGTGCAGCAAGAGCTTCAACCGCAGGGAGAGCCTCAAGCGGCATGTGAAGACGCACTCGGCGGACCTCCTGCGCCTGCCGTGCGGCGTCTGCGGGAAGGCCTTCCGCGACGCCGCCTACCTGCTCAAGCACCAGGCGGCGCACGCGGGCGCAGGCGCGGCGGGGCCTCGGCCTGTGTACCCCTGCGACCTGTGTGGCAAGTCCTACTCCGCACCCCAGAGCCTGCTCCGGCACAAGGCCGCGCACGCCCCACCCGCCGCCCCCGACGCGCCCAAGGACGTGGGGGCCTCCGTCCCGCAGCCCCCGCCCGCCTTCCCTGCGGGCCCCTACCTCCTGCCCCCTGACCCTCCGGCCACAGATAGCGAGAAGGCCGCGGCCGCCGCGGCGGCAGTGGTCTACGGCGCCGTGCCCGTCCCGCTGCTGGGGGCCCACCCGCTGCTGCTTGGCGGGGCCGGGACCAGCGGGGCCGGGGGCTCCAGCGCCAGCGTCCCTGGAAAGACGTTCTGCTGTGGCATCTGCGGGCGGGGCTTCGGGCGGCGCGAGACTCTGAAGCGCCACGAGCGCATCCACACCGGCGAGAAGCCCCACCAGTGTCCCGTGTGCGGGAAGCGCTTCCGGGAGTCCTTCCACCTGAGCAAGCACCACGTGGTGCACACCCGCGAGCGGCCCTACAAGTGTGAGCTCTGCGGCAAAGTCTTCGGCTACCCACAGAGCCTCACCCGCCACCGCCAGGTGCACCGCCTCCAGCTGCCCTGCGCCCTGGCCGGGGCTGCCGGCCTCCCGGCCACCCAGGGCGCGCCAGGGGCCTGCGGGCCGGGCGCCTCGGCCTCTTCTGCGGGGGCCGCGGATGCACTGAGCTACGCCTGCTCGGACTGCGGCGAGCACTTCCCCGATCTCTTCCACGTGATGAGCCACAAGGAGGCTCACATGGCGGAGAAGCCCTACGGCTGTGATGCGTGCGGCAAGACCTTCGGCTTCATCGAGAATCTCATGTGGCACAAGCTAGTCCACCAGGCAGCCCCCGAGCGCCTGCTCCCGCCCGCCCCCGGCGGCCCCCAGACCCAGGATGGCTCCAGCAGCGCCGACGCGGCCGGTGTGCTGGACAACGGGTTGGCGGGAGAGGTGGGGGCGGCTGTGGCAGCGCTGGCAGGGGTGTCCGGGGGTGATGACGCCAGCGGGACGGCGGTGGCTGGGGGCGGTGGGGGTGCCAGTTCAGGTCCTGAGCGTTTCAGCTGTGCCACGTGTGGCCAGAGCTTCAAGCATTTCCTGGGCCTGGTGACTCACAAGTACGTGCACCTGGTGCGGCGGACCCTAGGCTGTGGCCTCTGCGGCCAGAGCTTCGCTGGGGCCTACGACCTGCTCCTGCACCGCCGCAGCCACCGGCAGAAGCGGGGCTTCCGCTGCCCAGTGTGCGGCAAGCGCTTCTGGGAGGCAGCCCTGCTGATGCGCCACCAGCGCTGCCACACCGAGCAGCGGCCCTACCGGTGCGGGGTGTGCGGTCGAGGCTTCCTGCGCTCCTGGTACCTGCGGCAGCACCGCGTGGTGCACACCGGCGAGCGCGCCTTCAAGTGCGGCGTGTGCGCCAAGCGCTTCGCGCAGTCCTCCAGCCTGGCGGAGCACCGGCGGCTGCACGCCGTGGCCCGGCCCCAGCGCTGCGGCGCCTGCGGCAAGACCTTCCGCTACCGCTCCAACCTGCTGGAGCACCAGCGGCTGCACCTGGGGGAGCGCGCCTACCGCTGCGAGCACTGCGGGAAGGGCTTCTTCTACCTGAGCTCCGTGCTGCGCCACCAGCGCGCGCACGAGCCGCCGCGGCCCGAGCTCCGCTGCCCGGCCTGCCTCAAGGCCTTCAAGGACCCCGGCTACTTCCGTAAGCACCTGGCGGCGCACCAGGGCGGCCGGCCCTTCCGCTGCTCCTCCTGCGGCGAGGGCTTCGCCAACACCTACGGCCTCAAGAAACACCGCCTGGCTCATAAAGCCGAGGGTCTCGGGGGTCCTGGGCCGGGGGCGGGCACCTTGGCGGGAAAGGACGCCTGACAGGGAGGGGCGTCCCCTTGCGCACTCACCCGTCCCCAGTTGCTGATCAGACTCTTACCCCTCCTCGCTGTTGCCCCAGCCATCCTTCAGGACTCCAGACAGACTAGTCTCCTTTAAGGCCCATGCCCTACAGACTCAAGACTGGATCACTCCCATCCCGGACCTCTCTGGTCCTCGTCTCATCCTGCCAGCCACTGAACTTGATCCTCCGTCCAGTCCCGTTTTGTAACCTTCATCAGCGCCCCCCCCCCCCCGCAGCATTCTGTCCCCCAGTGAGCTTTTGTGGAGGATGTGGGTCTGAACTGCCCCTCCCCATTCCTTTGGGATCTGGCTGGGAAGTGGAGTATAAGTGGAGTTGGGAGGGCACAAGGGGACTGGGTGCTCTTTTGGATTGTGGGGTGGGGGCGGGGTGGCAGACGCGGCTTGTACAGAGCGGAGAATAATAAATCTTACCACAGGGCCGCTGGAGTCCTTTCTTGCATCCCAGGGAGAGGGGATTAAGTGCTGACAAAGAGAAAGTTGAGAACTTTTGTTTCCCAGGGATTTGGATTCCCCAGCACCCTCTGCCGCGTCCTCATGTTTTCTGCTTTGCCTCATTCAACTGGTAATTGCTGAGGATTTACCATATCCAAGTTGTAGTCTGCACCTTGAGCAAAGGGAGATGAACAAGACAGGTAAGTTTCTGTTCTCGGAAACTGACAGTGTACCCGGACTCCTTCCCCTTCAAAGATGTTTTCGGCATTTGTCTGCTTGGCCGGCATTTCCTGAAGCCCCCTGTCTGCCGGGTGCTTCACTGGACACTGTGGAAACACGAATTGGATATGCTCCTTGCCCTCGAGTAAGGTGGAAGAGATCCCTTGTTAAGCCATTGCCGTGTCCCAGCGTTGTACGGACCCATGTTTCTTACAGCCTCACCCATCATGCCTGTCCCTCCGGGATAATTTGGAGGAGCTTCAAAAGCCCTTCCAACAGCCCTCATTTCCATTGTTGCAACAGCGAGCCATGTGCCCTTCCAACGTGCGTTCGGTTCTCCCATCTGTCAGAAGAGAAGGCTGAGGTCCTGGGAGAAGAAAGAAGCTCCAAGGACACCTAGCAAGTCCGTGGTAGAACCGGGGCTGCAGGCCCAGGGTGCCTCAATACTGAAACTTGAAGACCAAGCTGGTTCAGGGACACTGCTTGGGCAGGTCCAGTTGGACCCACACGAGGGCAGCAACCTAGCGTGGCCAACGTATGCCCGTGCTGAAGGTCCAGCATAAGACACACCCGGTGCCCGTGCCCCGGGGGCACCACCATGAAAGTACGTGGAATGATCGCTGGGGGCTGAGAGCATGGAGGAGTCACCTTATCAGACTGGGGGCTGGCCAAGCTTCCCGGAGGAGAAAGTGATGCCCGAACAATAACAAAAGCCACAGAGGCTTGCCAGGTAATGTGAGCAAAGAATTCTAGGTGGAGGGTTTAGTGTGCCTAACTAGACCCAGCTATTCCAGAGAATCTTAAAAGATGAGTATGGGGGGAGAGGTTGGGGTATGGGAGGCTGCATCCTGAAGGGCTTTGGATTCCAAATAGTGAAGCTTAGACGATGTTGTAGGCTAGAGGCTGGCAGCTGGCAGCTGCTGGGCACAAGCCGCTGACACCCTTTGTTTAGCTCATGCATTAAAAAAAAAACAAAGTTTGACTTAGTTGCCAACATTTGAAAATCAGAAGGTTTTGCACAATGAACTAATGCAACTTCTGAAAAATTTGCAAGATTTAGCAACCCAGCCTGCCCTCCCCCAGAGCTGGGTAACCTCCGCCCTCTTCAAACAGAGCACACACTCTCGGATCTGCCACCAACTCCTGCCCGGCCTCGAAGCTCAGCACTGAGCGCAAGTGTCAGCTGCCATGTGTCACTGGTGCTGTGCTTTCCCCCTTGCATCCAGCCACCTCCCTCATTTATTGACACAGCCACCCCGCTCCTATAGGCGTTTATGCTTGTGATCCTGTCTCAAAGCCACAAGGAGCAGTGGGTCCATGAGGCTGTAGTATGGAGACTGGAGACGGTGCTGCTGGGTAGGTATCCAACTGTGGGGCCACTGTTGGCTTGGCCCACAAGAGTAGTGGTGATGAAGAGTGTTCAGATTTCAAAGATACTTAGCTGGCTCAACAGCAGGAAAGGGATGAGGATAGGGATTAGATGAGTGCACGAGGGGTGAAGGCTTCAGGAACCCACCCAGTTTCTAGCTTGGATGCTCATGCCACAGGCATTTCTTTGGAGGAAACGGAATGAGTTCTGCTGGTGCTCTGACCTAGGGGGTATCTCGTGGGAGGTGTTGGGTGAACAGGAAGGTGTGCAAGTCTAGGGCTCTCCCTCCTTGATAGGCGTACTGATCACAGGAGTCCCTTCCTTTTGCCAAACTTCCCTGACATCCACGCCACAGCTGAAACACGTATCACTGAATAGAGATCTAAAAATGAGGAAACGGTTTTGGAGAGAGAGATGCTGCAATTCACTGCTCATGGCAAGACCACTGTGTGGGCCCTCTGCCCCCACCCCCAAACACAAGACTGACATAGATAAACCCTTCAGAAAGTCCTTTAATAGGAGAACTGGAGGTTCCCCCCTCCAGCTCCCCGGTCCTCCTCACGCCCCCACCAGAGTGACTCAGTTCTTCCCACACCCACTGTACACAGGCCAGCCCACCATGCTGCCATCTCCCAGCCCTTCCTTGGGGTAGCCTTGGGTCAGGCATTAAGCTGTTTGCTTCACATTGGGAGTGGAGGAAATCAGAGAAACCTGAGACTACTTTGTAGCCCTGGGGGCCATGGGCTCTGAACCTAAAGCCTTATGAGAGGGATATTAGGTGGCTGTTTGCTGTCCGGATTTTTTTTGTTGCTTCGGAGTCGGTGGGTTAAGGAGGGACCACCATGGGAGCGGGAGCAGCTCTTGGAGTCAAGATCTTTATGGTCAGGCTTACATCCTTGAGGCTTGAGAGCTCTTGGCTAGGACGTGGGGACCCTCTGGCTTCAAGGTGATGGGATCCCAGAGTCTCTATGGAGGACCTGGTGGGCGTCTTCTGCCTGAGGGTGGGTAGGCATCCCAGGTTCAGTGCAATCCAGTGAGGTAGGAAAAGATTCCATCCTGGCCCACCCTAGGCCCCAAGATAGTCCACGGTTCTGCAGATGAAGGGCTAGCCCAGAGACACCAGGGCAGCCCCTGGTTCTGTCCCTTCCATTCAACCCTGGCTCCCCCGCTGTAGTGCCCAGGCTCTGCTGGGACAAGCTGTGTCTTGCACGAGGACAACGCAACGAGCAGGCAGACTGGGCAGTGGAATCCAGCCCATGTTCCTCACATTTAACCGAGCACCCACAGGGTGGTGTCTGTGCCTTTCTGAGTCTCATGGAGGTGCTGTATGGGTTTGTGGGTGTCCCAAAACTGGCTCTGTGTTCTCCCGCACTAGCTGCTCGTGGCCATCTCTGTTAGCTCTTGTCACCTCTCCCCCAATCTCCCCTCTCCTGCCTCCTTTTCCCACCCACCCCCTCCCCTGCGATCTGCCTCCTACTCCCTGTCCCGTGTTAATGCTCCCACGGCCCTGCTCTCCCAGCCTACTGGTCGACCTCCACCTTCACCTTGGCCACCTCCCCTTGCCCTTCTTCCAGACTGCTTCCCGGCCCACACCCACTCCCTGGCCCCTCGGGCCCTGACGCCAGCTGGCTGCCAGAGTCCCCCGGCCCTGGCCCGTGGAAGTGGGTGCGCTGGTGCTTGCGGAAGTTAGAGGAGTTGTTGAAAGTGCGATCGCACAGGGCGCAGCGGAAGGGGCGCTCGCCGGTGTGGATGCGCGCGTGGCCGCTCAGCACCGAGGACTGCGTGAAGCCCTTGCCGCAGATGCCGCAGTGGTAGGGCCGCTCGCCCGTGTGCACCCGCTCGTGGTCGCGCATGTCCGAGGAGCGGCGGAACGGCTTGGCGCAGAACCTGCAGGCGAAAGGCTTCCCCGCCGCCGCGCCCGCCGCCGCCGCCGCCAGCACCACCTCCGACCTCTCCTGCGGCGCCCCGGGCCTCCGATCCCGAGCCGCGGCCGCCTCCGGGGGCCCCTGAGAGGGCGCTGGCTCCACCCCGTGTCGGTGCTGGTGCCGCAGCAGGGACGCCAGGGCCCTGAAGGCCCGGGGGCAGAGGGGGCAGCGGTAGGGCCGCTCCCCCGTGTGCAGGCTGTAGTGCGCGCGGAGGCTGGCGGGGCCCGGACAGCTGTGGCCACACACGTGACACCGGCTGGGGTCCCCGCCCTGCCCGCCGCCCTCCGCCGCTGCCAGGTGGCCATGTTCATGGAATAGCAGCTCAGAGACCAGCCGGAAGGCAGCTGGGCACAAGGCACAGTGGAGGGAACCTGGCTCCGGGGGCTCGGGCACCAGCGTGGTGTCTGTCACCCTCACCACCTGGATCTCGATGAGGTCACTCGGGGGTGCGGCGGGGCGGCCGTCATCTGGCACCAGGACCTGGGGGGGGGGGGGGGGGGGGGGGAAAAAACCAGGAGCCTGTGGACCCTTCCTCAGGGCCTCCCCAGCACGCCCCCACTTATTAAAACACCCATCTCGGGGCACCTGGGTGGCTCAGTGGTTAAGCGTCTGCCTTCGGCTCAGGTCATGATCCCAGGATCCTGGGATCGAGCCCCGCATCGGGCTCCCTGCTCGGCGGGAAGCCTGCTTCTCCCTCTCCCACTCCCCCTGCTTGTGTTCTCTCTCTCGCTGTGTCTCTCTCTGTCAGATAAATAAATAAAATCTTGGGGTGCCTGGGTGGCTCAGTCGTTAAGCGTCTGCCTTTGGCTCAGGTCATGATCCCAGGATCCTGGGATCGAGCCCCGCAGTGGGCTCCCTGCTTGGCAGGAAGCCTGCTTCTCCCTCTCACTCCCACTGCTTGTGTTCCCTCTCTCGCTGTGTCTCTCTCTGTCAAATAAATAAATAAATAAATAAATTCTTTAAAAACAAAAAACAAAAAAACACCCATCTCCCTTGTAGCATACTGGGCCCTTCAGTTTCCAGATCCTGCTCTCCATCCTCCAGGATTCTGCAGTATCCCTATCAAGACTTCCACTCCTGTCCCAACCGCATCACGGATCCGGCCACTTCTCTCCTCTACCCCAGTTAAAAGCCAATTATTTCTTGGCCTGACAACTGAAAAAGCCTCCTGAGCAGAACCCCTGTTTCTAGGTCTGCTACCTCCCCAAAGCAGCCTGACTGGCCTTTTGAAAATGGAAATGAGATAGTCCTTTTCCCACTCAAAACCCTCCCCTGGCTTCAACTGCATTTAAAATCCAAAGCCGTCATCATAATACCCATCATGATCTGGCTCCGGCTGGTCTCCGACCCCAGTGTAAATATAAGCTGGCACACAGCTGACTCCTCTCATCTAAATTTAGCTCCCCCCTTCACCCCCACTCTATCAGCTCACTCTTTATTTCCTTTATAGCATGTAGCACAATAAATATCCTT